AAAAAAAAAATGGAAAAATAATCTATACCAAGCCCCATTTGAAGCCAGAATAGGTAAACTGCATTTTAATACCTTCCCATTACACAATCCTTTCCCTTACTGGCATTATACTAAACCTAATATCTCAACAGAAATTCTGAACCATGTTAAACATATCATGGATATCAATGAAAAGGGTTCCCTTGCTACAGAGATCATACATAGAACTTGGGGTAACTCACTTCACATCTATACAGATGGTTCTGTCGACCCAAATAACAACACTGTGGGATGTGGTATATGCATACCTCAACTTAATTACTCCAAGAACATCAGATTAAGCAATGAAGCCTCTATTTTTACAGCGGAACTCTTTGCCATTTTACTGGCCCTTGAATGGATTGAAGATGTTCAGCCTATGCAATCCTGTATATTCACAGACTGTCTGAATGCTATACGAGCTATATCTCGGCCTATCCCAAGAAACAAATTAACTTGTGATATTCGGCATACACTTTTATTATTCAAAATCAGGCTAACAATGTTATTTTTGAATGGATACCAGGACACTGTGGAGTTAAAGGAAACGAACAAGTTGACCAGATTGCTAAAAAGGGTACTAAAAAAAACATTATTGACCATAAACTGCCCCTTTTTATAACAGAAGTTGAACATCAACTCAAAAGTTGTTTCAAGCAACAGTGGCAACGGGAATGGAATAATTCTAAAGCTTCTCTACTTAAAAAATACAACCCATTGTTTCCCTTAACATGAACACGTGGAACCTCTCACGCTGGCAAGAAGTTCAGATTCACAGACTCCGGCTTGATATGTGTAAAAACCTAAATAGTTTCTATAAAAAAATCGGTAAACACGCGAACGGATTTTGTGAAACATGCAACACGTACGACAATGCTGAGCATTTTCTCATAAACTGTAACAAATATGTTAGTGCCAAGGGAAAACTTCAAAAATCATTAAAATTAACTCCAGATCAAATGACACTTAAAAATGTTTTAAACTCAAAATATAATATTCCCCACTTACTGAAATACATCAAGGCTACTAACAGTAACATCTAATATGAAAATGCATGCTCATACATACATTGAATTTTACATTTTTACATTTTTTTACATTTATCCATATTT